AAGTTTCATAAACTTATTTATTAATGGTAAATTATTTGATTTTGTCACGAACAGAGTGAGGATGTTATTATAATTTCCTTTTTTTATCCGTTCGATTTGAAAAAAAAGGAAAAAAAAATTTTTTTAAAACCCCGCGTTCGATTTTTTTTATTGAAATTACGAGTGCATGCAAAAAGGGAATAAAAAGAGGAAATACTTACTTTATTTTTACACGACCGCGTAAATACCGTTTATAAAATAAAAACTTGGCACCTGTTAAATTGACATAAGCTAAACATATAATATTTAAAATGTTTTCTTTTTTTCTTTTTTGTACGTTTAAATTTTTTTTTTGTGAAGTTTGTTGTTGCGACCATTATCGAAACGTTATTGAAAATTATTTAATTGGATAAAAGTTGTTTGTTGTTTTTGTTGTTGGTTGTTAAAGGTTTTCTAAGTAATTATAATCGGATGTTATTTGTTGTAATGATTGTAATACTCGTAAACGTTTGTTTTTCTTTTTTTTTTTTTTTTTTCGTAAAGAACTAAACGATATTGACACGTCGTAATAATAATTATTTTAAAAAAATGCTTTTAATTCGTTTTTTGTAAAAAAATTTTCTTTTTTTCTAGTTCCACGTTTACATAAAATAATAAAATTTAAAAGCCATAAGAAATTTTTGTTAAATCGGATGATGGTTGAGTAGTAAAAATGGCGGATTTTCAAAAGCAATTTATCAAAAAAAAAAAAAAACTGAAAATAATAATGATGATGATGATGATAATTTATATATACATCTTCGCCCATGTTTTACTGATGGAAAATTCAATCATCATAAAATATTTTTCGCTTGAGAATAAAAAAAAAAAAAAAAGAAATTTTTTCCCGCGGAATTTTTTTTTTTTCCTTTCCTTCGGCTTTTCCTTTTTAAAATTTGAACGGATTAGTTTTTCACGCGATCGCGTTTTCCTTTTTTTTTTTCCCCCACCCCTTTTTCTCTCTCTCTCTCTCGCATGTAAAAAAAAAAAAAGTATTATATGAGGTTTTTTTTTTATGAATAATTCAAATAAAAATATTGAATCCATCTAACCATTTATCAACGGATGTTTCACGTACGTAACCATCAGAAAAATACCATAAAAAAAAAAAAAAATTAACCGCCGTGAAAAAGAAAAACAAAAAAAATATTCCAACTGAAATATTTCGCCATTTTCTTTTTTTTCCTAGAAAACTGTTTTGAAACAAACAAAAAAATTTCGCTTTCGGAAAATTCTTTTTGTAAAAAAAAAAAAAAAAAAAAAAATTTTTTCTCTTCTCTTCTGCTTTTTTCCTTCTTCAAACGAAACAAATGAACAAAAGATAAAATAAAATAAAAATTTTTTACATTTTTTTTCGGGGGGGGAGGGGTGGGGAGGGAGAAGAGGAAAATTTCATAAAACAAAAAATTTTTAGTGCTTTAACCCGATTTGATGTGTTTTTATAAAATTTCTTACTCGTATTTTTTTTCCCATTTCAAATCGATATTTTCCGGAAAACCGTTACAAAAATTAATAATAATAATTTTCATTCATTCTCATTCATTCTCATTCACTCACTCATCATTTAAATAATTAAAAAACTTACCGTTTTATTACCCAAATTTCGTACTCTGCAATTTAAATAAGCCGTTTTACCAACTAACGCCGTCACATTTTTCGATACGGATGTATCGAAATAAGGTCCTCGAAAATTTGATGACATCATATTTAAATTATTATTATTATTATTATCAGAATCGTATTCGTTTGAATCTCTAGCGGATCTATAATCGTCTGATTGTTGTTGCGTCGACCCTAAAAACAAACAAAAAAATAATTATTATTAGCAATTCTATGCGTAATCGATTTTATTCATTCATTCCCTTTACTCCCGACTGAATGAATGACTGACTGACTGATTGATTCCAGGAAGAAAAAATAAAAAAATAAATAATTTAATAAAAACGTTTTTGTTTTAAATAAATTGACATAAATCGTTTTGTATAATAAATAAATTGTTTTGTAACACGGTATAAGTTTTCCCTTTTTTCGAATCGTGATTTTTTTTTTTTTTTAAAGAAAAAAAAATGGTTAAAAATCACTGCTGTGGGAAAATCAAAATCACAAATCTACTAACTAAATCTTTAACGCAATATATATTATTTAAAGAGGGAATAAAATGAGAAAACCTGATATACGTGGTTTTAGAAAAAAAAATAAGATAAAATAAGGAAGAAACAATTTCTTTTTAGAAAAAAAAACACGTTTTTATATAACTTTTAACATCGTTTCCTATCGTTTTAATTTATTTTATTTAATTTATTTTTTTTTTTTTGTAATGTGACAATAATTTATTTATCCGTAATCCTTAATTTTTTCTTTTATATATATTATTATACTGAATTACAATATAATTCTTTTCCTCCTTACCTATAAAATAAATTTTTTTATTTCCATCAAAATAATTTTTAATTTTTTTTCGCGTCTCCAACTTCACTATCAAACTATTTATAATAAATTTAAATAAATAATAAATCACGAATAATATATTATATTATTTATTTATTTATACATAATATAAATACATTATACGCATATCAAATACGTATATATAAATAAAATCTACGCCTTTAAATTTTTTTTTTTTTGTTTTTAAACGAAAACGAATCGAGAATAAAAAATAATAATATATATTATATATATATATATATATGATGTGACAAAATCATATATTTATACATTTCTGTGATAAATATATACGTTTATATTTAAATATATTATTATTATTATTATCATCAGAATCATTTCAAAAAAGAAAAATCGTTTCGGATTAATGTTATTAACGTGATTATATTTTGTTTTTTTTCGTTTAAAATTCATCGTGCGAAGGTTTGTAGGGGGGAAAGGAGGAGGAGAGGTGGGAGAAAGGAGAAAAAATAGATTTATTATTAGATAAAAAGGACAGAGGAAAAAAAAAGAAAAAACAAAAATGAACAAGAAGATAAAAAAAAAGAATGACAAAGAGGAAGAAGAAGAAGATATATTGGTAAACGAAAAACCCTAAGCATGAAAAAAAGGGCTCACGAGAGCAAAAGTCTTTCCTTTTTCTCCCCTCCCCCCTCCCCCACTTTTTTACTAGGCAAAAAAAATTTTTTTTTTTGACTTTTAAGTCAAGATGAAATTTTTCCCTTTTTTTTTTGTATGGATTATGATTATTAAGAGGGTCGAAAAACAACAACGACAACAAAAAAGAAAATTTTATAAAAAATTTTTTTCTAACGTTTTCTTCTCATTAATATTATTTTCCGAAAAATCGTGGAAATAAATAAAAAAATCGTGTCGAAAGAAAAGTATCACGTGAGAGAGAGAAAAGAATAAAATAATCACGTGATATTAATTATTATTTTAATCGATATTATATTAACGAATGTTAACAAATTAATTAACTTAAACCCTTAGTTTTAAAACACGAAAAGGTTTTGTATGTTTAAATAACCGCGTTATACACTTAAATAAATTTATATATATAAACAATCGATAATATATAAAAAAAGTTGAGAGAGTGTTTGTGATAAAACTCTGTGTTTTGTTTTCCAAATTATTATATTTAAATTATATTTGATTAAAAATAAATATTTATAAATATATTTGTAAATTATAATACATCACGTGAAAAATAAATAAATAATAATATAGGTCAATGAACTCTTTAAAACAATTTTTTTTTTTTTTATTATATTTAAAACAGGAAAAACATAAAAAAAAAAAAAAAAGCAGAGACTTTGAATAAAATCGTCACGTTTTGTTAATTCAAAGTAATTTTCTTTTTTTTTTTTTGTTTGCTTTTTTAAATAAAAATGAAAACCGCAACAGAAAAAAAACAAAAACAAACAAAAAACAACAACAATTTTCAGTTCGGTGTGTAATTGAAATAAAATTTAAAGCTTGGGAATGAGATGTAAAAAAAAAAAAAAAGAGAGAAAGAGAGAGAGAGAGGGAAAGAGGATTGAATAGAGTGAAACATCATCGTCATGACGATAATAATAATAATGATGATGATGATGATGATGTGGGTCGTAGTAAAACCAAAAAACACGAAAGACTCCAAAATTCGTGATGAATGATTCGTCACCATTTGCAATTAATTTTCTCTCGCCCAGTAATTACGAGGTTTTTAAAATAAATGGTATCGCTTTTGGAACACGCAATTTCCGACGTTAAAAAAAAAAAAACATGTTAACCATTATTATTATCATTATTATTATTATTATTATTATTATTATTATTATTATTATTATTATTATTATTATTATTATTATTATTATTATTATTATTATTATTATTATTATTATTATTATTATTATTATTATTATTATTATTATTACTATTATTATTATTTAAATAAAGTTTTCAAAAAAATAATAATTGATTAATAATAAATAAATAAACTTTTGTTTATTTGTTTATTTATTTATTTTTTTTTATACACGCACACAAATTGATTTTTAAATAAAAAAAATTTTCTTTTCGAAAACAAAAAAAAAAAAAATTTGTTTTCGTGAACGTGGCAGCACTGATTTAAAAAAAAAATAATAATTTTTTTTTTCGGTGAGTAAATATTATTATTTAAAATTAATAAACGAAAGAGCGTGACTTTTTCTACTCCATATTAAAAATTAAAAAAAAATCGCGTGTTTTTTTAATTTTTAGTTTATTAAATAAATTTTTTTTTAATAAAGAGAAAGAGAGAGAGAGAGGGAAAGGGGAAGAGGAAGAAAGAGAGAGAGAGAGGGAAAGGGGAAGAGGAAGAAAGAGAGAGAGAGTAACAAATACGTCACGATAAAAAATTGTCTACTAATTTTAAAATTAAATAAATAAATAAATAATAATAACAATGCCGAAATGTTTACTTTTTTTTTCATTTATTTATTTATTTTCCTTTCCTAAGCCATTTTAATAAAGGTTTTTTTTTGCTTTTTAATGAGAGAAAGAGAGAATAATAATAATAACGATGTTCCGAATTATTTTTCACGTCATCGTTTTCCAAAAAAAAAAAAAAAAAAAGGTTATTTCGTTAAATTCGTATAACAAAAACAAAATTTTTTTTTTTTTTTTATTTAAAACGAATAATATTATATACGAATGACTAATTAACAAATGAAATTGTTTTCCCTTTTTTTACTTTACCTTTATTTAAAAAAAGGGGGGGGAAAGGAGGGAACAAGGGAACATCATTAAAAATCTTTAAAAATTTTTACTTTATAAATAAAATTAAAGGGAGAAAATTTAAAAAAAAAAAAGAGGGGGGAGTAAAAAAAATAAATTAAAGACTTTAAGGTAGTTCAATGGAGTCCGGTTCATTTGTTATTATCTCAAAAAAAGAAATGATTTTAATGCTTAAGGGTTAAAAATAAAATTTAAAAAAAAAAATTTTTAAGATGCAATAATAATAATAATAATAATAATAACCTTTGTTAAATTTATTTATTTAAATAGTTAATAAAATTTTATTTATAAATGATTTTTACTAACGCGAAAATTTTCTCGATTACAACAAACGATAAAAAAAAAAAAATTAAACTGATATGTACAAAATGTTTGTTTGGTTGTTGTTATCAGTATGAAATTTTAATAATAAAAAAATTTGTTTCCGGATTAAATAGATAGAGAGAGAGAGAGAGAGGAAGTGAGAGAGAAGTAAAATTCCAATAAAATTATATGTTAATAATATATACCATTTTTTTTAACGAAAAAATGAAAATTATGACGTAATTTATTTCTTTTTTTTATTTTAAATTTTTTTTTGCATTTGAATCGAAGACAATAAAAAAAATTATTAACGACTTCCGGTTATTGTTTTAATAAAAAAAAAAAAAACAAAAAACTTTTTTAGTTAACAAAACATTCATTCGAAAATAAATATATATATTTTCATTAAATAAATTTCAAAAAAAAACAAAAACTTATCATTATTATTACCATTTATTAAAAATAAAAATTATAATTAATAATTTTTAAAAACTTTTCTCAAGTAATTTAAAACCCAAAGCTATTATTATATTATTATTATTATTACTATTTTCTAAATCCCAAAGATTCATTATTTTCTTATTGTTTTAAACGCAATATTTAAGATTTATTTCGAATAATAAAACGCCAAGTTCGTAAAACTTCGTAAAACATCGTATAAATTCGTATGAATCATGTGAATAATATCGACCAATCAAATTAAATCTAAGTTGAATTTATTTAAAATTTAAAAACCCTCTTCTCTTATTTTTATTTGTTTACGTTTGAGTACACGTGGGCTCCGATAAATTGAAATTTATACGAAAATTACCCTCAAAAAAAAAAACCCGTGAAAATTTTCATTTTATTTTTTCTTTTTATATTAAAAGTTATGAAAAACAAAATAAAAAAAAGGAAAAGAAATCACAACAACCGCCACGTTTAATGAAATAGAAAAAATAAAAAAAAATCAAGAAAAATTTTCTTTTTTTCTTTTTCTTCTTCTTCGTGATAAAAATTATAAAAAAAAAAAATGAAAAGAAATCTCAAAATGGCGTACATAACTTCATTTTACTCGTTTTCCTCCTTATTTTTTTTCCCCGTTCATTTTCCTTCTTTACCGAGCACTTTCAATTGCCTAAGGAAAATAAAATAAATAAAAAAAAATTTTTTTTTTGGAATTTATAATTAATATTCTTTTTCAGTATAGAAAAGAACAAATTTAATTATAAACTCGGTTATTGTTTTTTTTTTTTTTTTTTTTTTTTTTTTTTGTACGAGAGAACACAACAATACGAAAAATTACCAATTAAGCCATTTTGTTCGGTAATTTTTTTAATTAAAAAAAAATTTTTTTTTTTTTAACGGTTATAATTATTATAATTTCGGGTTTGAATAAATTCTCATTCAATTTTTTTTTTTAATTAAATAAAATTTATTCTCGTAATTATTAGTACGAAATTAAACAATAACAATAAATAAA